AATTAAAAAAAAAAAAAAAAGAAATAACTGAAAGAAAAAACACGTCATACTTGCATTTAAAGCGTGAGAATTTGTGTCGACTCTAGAACCAAGCTCCCGCTAAGGATTTGACTCCTTAGCAATTCATTCTAAGACTTAGTATAAGACCTTTATTATTTTTTTTATATAAGACACCCGTTCTTAAATAAGCATTTATCACTTTATTGACCTGGACTAATACAAAGAAGCCAATGGCTAGTGGCAATCAAGTCCACATTCTTGAAGATCATATGTATTTTTGCTGACTCCTTGGACCCTGAGTTCCTGAAAATATGAAGTGAGAGACAAAAAAACCCAAACCATTAGCAAAAGAAAATCAACATTAAAGCACAAAAGCACCTTCATTGATGTTCTCGCCACCGATAGTTCCCAAACTTATAGAATTCTTGAACTCGGTTATCTATAACACTCTCGAGACAGGGAAGGAGCTAGTACTTTATGGAGGCAAATATGTTTCCTTTCAAATGTTCTGTTATAGGTGGAAAAAAAAAATAATAAAAGAAACCCACAAACTTATTTTATATACAGGCAAAAAGGCAAACAATGACAAAATGTTGAGACTAAGGAAAGCATGTGAAACAAGAGTAAAATTTATTATTAGTATATGTAAAAAATTAATTTTACTTGCCTTGGGGGAGGGGCCTTATTTTTTCTTTCCTTTGTGAGGACACTGACTAAACTAGAATGACAAGAGGTTCACTTCCAGAACATGTTATTCAGGACATTATTTACATCTATGTGTTTGTGTATGTATATGAAATCTATCAGAGCATACAAAGGATATATGTTTAACCAAAAGGAAGAAAAAAGTTGTACCTTTGTTATTTAGCAGTCAATTCACATTTGCATTATCAAATCTAATCATTGTTAGTTTGATATAAATTTTCTTGCTTTGTTACTGAGCTGGTTTTTAGAAAATATGTTTATGTGTCCACAAGTAAAACAAATATGTGTCAATTTCTTAGGATTCCAGTGTCAGAATATACTCTTATGAATTATTTCTAAATTATTACTTAATCTCATAAGGAATTTACAATTAGGACCTTCATTAATAAATATGTATTTATTAATAAATATATAATTGCTGTGATTTGTTAAGGCGCTGGCCTTTTGCCATTATATATATACACATTATATACGATACATATTATAGCTATCACACAAACCAAAGGCAAAAAGAGGACACTAGCTTAAAACCAGAATCTGACTTCAAATAGTCCCTGTTAAAAATAAAATTTCCAAGTTAGTTTGTAAATTTGTTGTTTGAAGCAGTTTCTCACTGGGCTGATGTTATAAATTGTGGTTCAGTTCCCAAGTCCATAGAAATTTATTTAAGCCACAATTTAAGTGAATTTTAGTACCATGCTTAAGAGCGAGACAAAAACTATTCACCAATTTAGAAGTTTGTTTTGGTTTGGTTCTCTTCTCCTACAGGAGCTGGTTTTTAGCAGTGGGACCAAGGAACCCTACTCTCCACGGGCTAGAAACTAGCAAAACAAAACCTTAAAACTTTGAGCACAGGGTGACTGTTTGAGTCTTAGGTAATATGGTCAGGGTCAACAGCAACAGAGAAAAGGACAAAAGAAAAAAATTAGTAGCAACATCAGATAAGAAAAAAATGGAGTCAGCAAGGAAGTGGGTAACTCTAGTTGAGTAGGCATCCATAAGTCAGGGTGGTTTGGCTACTGTCCCACACAAACATTAATCAGTTTAAGAAACAATTTTATTTTACAAGTGAAAGTTTGGAAAAGTAACAAAACATAAGTAACAAAATAAAACCTCCGGTCATTATAATGGGATATTTTCTATGATTGAAAAATATGAGGAAAAAGTACAAACTGTACTTGTGGGGCAAATCAATGTTTAGTTCTTAATTCCAAATTGAAGTTTATAAGATTTAGATGAAAAAAATCTTGAAGAAAAATGTTCATTTACATATTTACCGCTGCAGCATCTGGCCTGTGTGCAAGTCCTGACTAAGCAGGTTGTAGAGAAAAATTTCAGATTAAGCCCATCAGCTTATTAGCTAAAGATCCTCTGGCTAGACTTCAAGCTTTACAGGCAGACACCTTTCCCTTGAAATGTTAGAATGCTTTAGTGTTATTCTATCATCGTGTCTCTGTTCCATGGAGCTGCATCCATTTCCCCCAATCTTAGCACAATGAGAGAGATGTTGAATAGACAGGGCAGGAGAGAGATGAAAACATATATTCCAAATATTAGCAAACCAATAATATTCTAAAAACAATTCCAGAAAAAGAGCAAAGACCATGTTTAAAAAGTCAAAACTGAATCACTCAACCTCTGTGGTCTCTGAGGACCATAAATTAACTTTAATCCATAAACCCAGCCAGTTGCCTTAGCCCACAGACTGTATTTTGGCATAAATTTTCAGCTGTGCCAAAACATATGCAGCAGGTGCCTCTCTCTCTGATACAAGCAATATTTAATTGGATCTTTTTAAAATAACAAAAACATACCTGTATTTGAGAATAACAATAATACAAACATAAGATATTATATTATTGTATTATAACATACTTTTATAATATACTTTATAATATACTTTTATATTATATAATAATATGCATTTGATGGATATTTTAGTTTGTTATTCTACTCTTAGTTTTGTTCTTCAAATACACCTGGAAAACATTTTAAGCAAATTTATAAGTGGAAATATTTAAATGTTCCATTACTTGATAGTATTGGAAAGTGTGTCTGGTTATTAGGTAAATGCTCATTAAAACTCCTCAAATGTACTACAGAAGATATATACATCTATAGTGTACAAAGGATTAGGGATTCCTTCCTTCCCTTCTTCCTTTATCCTGAGGGAAGAGCTAGTGAGCTTAAGCTTTAACTTTAACAGGTTAGAAAAAGGAATCTTACACATCTACTAAATTAAAAGTTCTATTATTAAATGCCTAAATTTTTAAGTCACTCGGTTTCCTAGCTACTTCGATGGAATCAGCAGTCATAGATCCAACCCCAACTCCAAGACCGGAACGTCGTAATGATAGTTCCAAGGCAGAAATCTGACGTAATTCTTTGCGACACAACTTTACAGGTGTGACACCATGAAGCTGTCCCACATTTCCCACTGGCTGAATTTGGGGCGAGGGTCGATTATGAGATTTTGTAAACTGATTTTCATCTATTTCTGTTTTATCCTCAGTGCTTAACAAATATCCACTAGTGGGTGCTAAAGAGCTGTAAATTGGAGGTAATTCTGGTCCATCTTCCCAGAGCTTCTGAGGATTTGGTTGTGTTCTTAAGCTGCTTGCTGAACTGTCTAATTCTCTTTCCCTTCCACTTAATTTCATACTTTCAGTTCTTGAGGCCCATTTTAATTCTTCTGAAACCACACCTGCTTCTTCTGGGTTCAGGACTCCATCTCCAGCATCATGATCTAAAAATAATCCAAAAAACAAAAAAAATTAGAGATTTTCTCAGAAACAGGTATTTTAATCATGATATCCTAACATAACTACATTATTATCACTCAATATAAGTTACGCCTTATAGCTTTTTTTGTTAAATGACTTCTTTTAGACAAATAGAAGTGTGAATATGAATTATTCTTATTTCACTTACAGGCATCCTGCATGTGAATAATTGAGAACTTTTAATTCATGGAACAAAGTTGAGAAACAGTCTTCTAGTGATTTCAGTACTCCCTGGAAACACAGAAGTGCTTTGGGCCTCTCAGGTGCCTTTCCAAGCCTGCCCTCCATTGGGCTTGCCAGTGGGGAATCACATTCCAAATCCTAGCTAAGTGAAGCCAGCACTGGAGAGTACTGGCTTTGCCTCATATGTCCAGGGAATCTTCTGGGACTTGGCATTATGTGTGTGAAAATCTAGTCTTGGTTGGCACTCCCAGCTTGAGAGCAGGGTTCTGCTCTCTGAATGTATTCTGGGGTGCATGCCACAACTTCCACCATCAAAAGGGAGACGAGAGCACACCCCCTCAGTGGGGGACACTCCATTGCAATGAGTGATAGGAGTGAGTGAAGAGATCGAAGCTCGAGGTCCTCAAATCATAGAATCATATAATACTGAAGAAAAAAACTTGTTAAGGGAAGTCCATATAGGTACTAGACCTAATATGGTGAAAAATGCTTACTTTAACATATGTTGATACGTGCTTAGTACACCTCTAGTTCTGCAAATACCAAGTTTAAAAACAGAAGTTACACATTGGCTGCTCCCAAGCTAAATCTGGCCCACAGATATGTTTTACTTAGGCTATAAAATAATACACGACCCAACATTTAAAAAGTGGAAAGTTTCATATAAAAATATAGATTTCCAGCTTTTATAGAAAAATGAGAAGAACTAACAATTTCTGCCTGGCAACAGCACCTGGGGCAGAGTTGCTCCTGCCAAGCTAGACAACTACTGCAGTCCCCACTGCTCACTCTGGCTTCCCTGGCTCCTGCAGGCATGTTAGTTTGGGACCCCTGCTTTAACACATAATTGATTTTCTAGTTTTTAAAATTCTTCTCACAAACAAAAATCCTGAAGTAGCAAATGACAGAGATCCTCACATGAATTAGCAGATCCTCACAAAGTTGACCATAGTGGTCACAGTGGCTCTCAAACTTGGCTACACATTAGAGTCACTGGGAAGCTTTTAAAAATCCTGATGCCCAGGTCACAGTGTCTGGAGAGAGAGCCAGGCATCTTATTTTTTAAAGATCATATGTGAAAGAGCAGAGATGGGCTCATTGGAGAGGCTCACTCCCAAGCCCACTTGGATTCTTCACAATAGAAAGTTTCCCTTTCTCAGAATTTTACAATTGAGGGAACAAACTAGAGAAAGATTAATTCACCCAAGGTCACACTGCTAGTAAAAGAAGTTAGGATCCCAACCAGATCTTCTGACTCTTGTATCCTCACACAGAGTTTTATTGTGATTTAAATTGAAACAAGGATCAAGTTTTAAATACTTAAGTGTATAGATTGCATGTCCATATAAACTGATTTTATCCTCACAAAATATGTTAGAAAACACATGCACTATAACAAAAGCACGATCCAGAAGTGACCAAGATATTTTGGTCAAAAGATTAATTTTTCTATTTGAAAATGCTAAAAAATATTCAAAGAAGATAAATACAAGTATGGTAGGCAGACAATGAAAAGACTACTATCAAAAACCAATAAACTGAATACCAAAACAGTTATGTTTTAACTAGGATACTGATTATTAAACATAAATACATTTTAAGGAACTCAGAATTTGATATATTTAAATTTCTGTATTTTATAATTCAAACAAATTTTGTTTAATGTCATTATATTAGAGCAGCATTTTGAGATAGGATATAGTACAAATTATATCCCCACTATGATTCCAACTGTATTTTTTTTAAAGCATGGGGAAAATATTGAAAAGAATTATCCTAAAATGTTATTAGTTGTGGGTAGGATTATGGGTGCTTTTTTCCTGCTTTGTTCCTATATTTTCAAAATTTTCTCTAATGTCTATTTATTACTTTTTATAGCCAAAAAATAAAAGTATTTAAGATGTTTCGAGGTAGAATAGCAAATTAGCTAAAGTAATACCTTCAATATTATTATCAAGACTAGACTTCCCAGGTAACTTGGTCAGATGGGTGCTACCCTCACTTTACATACCTCTAAGATTATTTAACTTTTTTAAGCGTTTTATGTTTGTTTCATTAAAGAGCAAGATGAGGATCCAGGTTTCTTAAAACTGTATACCACCATACCGCACTGTCATTCTAAGAGATGTTTAGGAGACTCAGTAGTATAAACATGGGCCATTTAAACACTAGATCTAGGGCCGGCCCCACGGCTTAGTGGTTAAGTGCGTGCGCTCCGCTACGGGTGGCTCGGGCTCGGATCCCAGGCGCGCACTGACGCACCACTGGTCAGGCCATGCTGAGGCCGCATCCCACATACAGCAACTAGAGAGATGTGAAACTATGACATACAACTATCTACTGGGGCTTTGGGGGGAAAAAAAAAGGAGGAACATTGGCAATAGATGTTAGCTCAGAGCTGGTCTTCCTCAGCAAAAAGAGGAGGATTAGCATGAATGTTAGCTCAGGGCTGATCTTCCTCACACACAAAAAAATAAACACTAGATCTATAATTTCAGATATCTCAAATTTGAAAGTGGATTTTTTTTATTGATGTTTTAATAATTTTTAACATTGTGAAATTTTGGGTTATACATTTTTGTTTGCCCATCACCATAAATATGACTCCCTTCACCCCCTGTGCCC